AGCACTCGAGGTGCGGCCTCACCAGTGCCCAGTACAGGGGGACGATCACTGCCCTGGTCCTGCTGGCCACACTATCCCTGATAGAAGCCAGGACGCTGTTGGCCACCTCGGCACCGCTATACGTAGGGAACAATCCTATACTGTACTGTCGGGATGTAAATATTAGAAACCCCAGGGCATCCACTGACACTTGCCATTCACGTTTGAATTCCTAAAGTTAAAGCAGCCTGTCGGAATGATGGCAGGTGTACCTCTGTGATGGTTTTAGTTCAGATCAGGGGTGTGCTTTTGAGGCAAATCTTCTGATTGTATCCACTTTGAAAGCATCACGAGGCACAGCAGCCTGAGTCCTTTCAGATTAATTTAGAAAGCACCTTCCCGGAGCGCACCTAATGTACACTGGCTGGTGATGGGTGCCTAGTTTATGGGCTGAGCACCAGGACTAGTTTGTACTGAAAACCCCAAAACATATACTGTGTTGTCATCAGGCTCTCAATATTGCAAACTATGGCTGCCACTCCTCTGTTGAGCCAGGCAATTTGGGAAATAGTTTTGGTCTGCTTAGCAGCTGGTTGTTACAGGTGGGCAAGGGAGTCCCTACAGCAAGGATGGGCTGCTGTTTCAGCTATACTATATCAATTCAAAATGCAAATGGAGTGACTCACTATGCCACCAAAGATGTGACATTATCACATCGGCTACAGGTTACATCAAACTCAGTGCTAACTCTGCTACGTATAAACACAGCTACTGTTTTGTGAGATTTGATCAGGTCTCATGTTGCCATAAGGGAGTCTCGTCTTGGGTCCTGGGGCTGCTCCTTGATGATAGTAGGTCAAGACTGTCTGAAAAAGAATTTTTTTTTTCTTCCTTCTGCTCTCTTATCCACTGGTTAGTCTTTATAGCTTCTAAGTGCTCTGCAGAAGTAATTTCTTCTACCCAAGCATGGTCTTTATTGTATTCTCCACAGTCAGCCAATTCTCACTTCACTTTTCCCTTCCACTTGTTATGATCTTCAGAGCTGCCTTTGTCTACATTGGTATCAAAAATGAATTTTGAGGCAATTAATATGTTGTTACTGGTCAGTTCTCAGGGTTCTTGTCTGGATGGTTTTGGTGTCTTCAGTACTATCTGAATGAGTAAGCAAACAATTTTTTTGCTGATTCTGTAAAGCACACGTGATGCAATACTCACTCAGCACCAACTCTTTCAGATCGACTCCTGTTGCACTGTACAGTTTGCTCATGTAGTTAGATCCTGTGCGGTGCTGGAAAGAACTAATTGGTAATTAGTAAAGAAATTGGCTGCTGCTTAGAAGACCCATGTTCTGTAGACATCTCAAGCCGTTTCTTCTGCAAAGCAGTGGAGACATGGACCTAAATGCAGGTTTAGTGAAAGCAGATGCAAAACTACTCGTTCTACATTAGCAAGTTTGTAACTAGGACTGAATTTCAATTAGAGCAAGTCCCTTGGTTAGAGGCAAGAGTTGCTGCCCCCATTGATTTTTGCAGTGATTATGAAACTTGAGTAACTCAAGAAACAGGTTTTTGATTTCTGACTTACAAACAGGTAACCATGTGGGTTACCAGCCCTTCTTGAAAGCTTGCGAAGAGGGATAGAAGACTAGTTCTGTCCCATTGGCAAATACATTTCTATTAAACTAGTCGCATGTTTTGTCTTTAAAATGACTGCAGTAACAGCAGTTCTTATCCAGTACTGCTAAAATCCATCTAGAATTAAATTGGCCTTTAAGAAAGCACTTCATGTTTTCTCTGAATCATAATACTTTATGGATCCATGAAATTGGTTTTGGTCTGTTCAACATGTTGCTGAAATATTTTTAAAGAGGTTTTCCTTTTCTCTTTTCCTGTTTGTATTCGTCATCTTCTGTTTGACCAGATTGAATTAGTTAGAAGAGATTATGTGGCTAATGGTGGCTGGGAGACGTTCCTGTCCTATGAAGATCCAGAGCAGGATATTCTCGTTGGCCTTCTACGACTGCGCAAGTGTTCAGAGGAGTCATTCAGACCTGAGCTGAAAGGAGGTGTTTCCATTGTCCGGGAATTGCATGTGTATGGTAGCGTGGTCCCCGTGAGCAGTCGGGATCCTTCAAAATTTCAGCACCAGGTACTCCAAGCCATCTTTATTTTTCATCTGTACCTCTTTCTTGCACCCTCCTCCCCTCTCCTGAGAGGGGATTTAATAATCTAAGGTTCATTCAGTTGCTTTGACTTATAGTCCACTGCAATAGAAACAGAATTGAATTTGAGCCCCTTCTTGCATTTCACCTGCTGAAATCATGCTGCTTCTGAGTTTTTGCTAGTGTGATCGCGTTTAGGCAATTGCAACTGCTCTGAGGTAGAAAAAAAAAAAAAGCATGGCTGAATGCTATCAGTGTTGCTTCATGTCCATACAATATGAGCTCATATATGCTGTTGCTTATTTGGCTTTCGAGTACTAAGCATCTTTGGTTCTGAAGTATCTTTCCTTTGATATCTGGTACGGTACATCGAACTTGACTGCAAACTGAGTAAAACCAAAACAAAGGGGATACATCTGTTGCATCTTTTTAGTTCCTTCTAAAATTGATCTTGGTGGATAGATGAATTTCACTTCTGAAATCTGAAATAATTACATGCGGGAAGATGAGATTTTGCTTGATACCACCCAGTTTTCTTTCAAAGGAACATTTATTGAATACATTCTTCCTACCGAAAGAGAAGAAATCCAACTTTGGTTCTGAGATGTTTATCGGATTAAGTGATTTGGTGAGACTCCTGACTAGAAGTCTTTCAGTTGAGTCAGTTTTTTTGCTTCAGACACACTTGTGAGACCATTTCATATGTATCTTAAGCATGTGAGGAATGGAGTGGAAAGCTGTGTTTCTGATTCCTTACAGTGACTCCTATGAAAATGGCACATTATCCTTCTGCTGCATGTAACATGCTGTGGCTTGCAGTGAGCAAAAATGTGAATTAAATTTTGCCCCAGTAGGTTCTGAACCTTTAGACTGAGCTTTTAAAAAAGCAATCAGTTTGTCCTCTTTGCCAGAAGTGCTCAGGGCTAATGTTTTAAATTAACTTCCTTGTATTTATTAATCTTTCCCTGAGTATATGTATTAAGATGCAGTTTTGCTAGACGCTGATGATGTGTGACCATGAGGCAGTGGCTGGGGGTAGGGGGAGGAAGAAGTGGATATTTCCACTGTAAAAGACTTAACACTTAAAAATTTAGGAAGAAAAAGTGGTCATCATAAGTACTTGAAAAAAAAATTATAAAAAAAAATAGAGAGAAAATCAATTGAAAGTAGCCAAGTACAAACATTAAAATAGGCTGCAAATTGAAATTTCATGGCATATGACGCACTCATGTTCATTTGGAATAGTCAGTGTTCAAGAGGTTAATCAGAAAGCATTCTTCGCAGCTGTGGGGGCAATTTCTGATCAGAAGGACGTCTTAGAATGAAGGTTTCTGTGTATTATTTTAAAATGCCTCTAAGTCTTAAAATTTGTTTTTTTTAGAATTAAATCACATCTACTTCAGTGTCGCCACAGCCCCATTCTTTACGTCTTGTCAGGAAAACAGATGAACAAAGAGCCAAGTATAATTCTTGGCCTCTGATGTTAGGAGGGAATTAATCCAATCAATTATTCCCAGATATGTAGGACAACGAAGTTGTTAAATAGAGTGGAAAGGCTATTCCCTTATTTTGAAGCATTATTGTGATTCCAGTAGCACTCCTGCTGTGCAAGATTTCCAAATGTAAACAGAGGCATGGGTCTGGTGCAGAATATTAACATATTCTTCTGCAATTCTTTTTGTTTTGGCATCTCCTGCGTCATAAGCTGAGCCTAGGAGAGCGGTACAGAGCTTGAACCTAGCCTAGATCTGCAAGGGTCACACAACGGTTTGATGCAGCCTTTGTGGGTAGTCCCGACAAGCCCTGCGGTCGCTGCGTGCCTCAATTCCTCATCCTGAAACTTAACAGCTCCTGACTCGTGGGGGGGTTGTGGAAATAGAGATTATGAGGCGCTAAGGCAATGTGTAAATCAGAAAAGTGAAGAGCAGCAGGGCCCGTCGCTGGGTCTATAGTGTCTGGCCTCATCCGTTTCAACTGATGTCCCCAGACAGAATGGCGCTGGGATCCTTCTGCAATTTGACAGTGTAGGCAATTGCATCTGGCATTTGTGCTCTGGCTTTGTTTAATTCACTAGCACAAAGCCAGGTCTAGTAAAGTAGCCGTTAAGATGGATGATTGTTGTTTAGGATTGGTTATCTCAGCAGGATAGACTTGTTCAGCGCTAGGAATTACGGGATGCCTACCAAGTTGACTTACCATCAGTGGATTTAACTTCATTCTGTTCCTGCCATTGAGAAGCAGTCAGACACTAAAACTGCCTTTGAATAATTTCATGATCAGAAAAAAAAAAAAAAACAACCTAAAAAAACTCCACTGTTAAGCTTAGGGTTGGTATAGCTCTTCTCAAGCTCTCTCCTGCAATATTCAGCAATATTCCTGATCACAGGATCATTCCTGCACCAAAAATATGAGCCTTTTGGAACTGTATTAATGCTTACATTCTGACCTTGCTTATGTTTTCTATTTTTACAGAACTTATGTTTTCTTCCTGTTATTTCTCCCATTATAGGGATTTGGTATGTTACTAATGGAGGAGGCAGAAAGAATAGCCAAGGAGGAGCATGGGTCATGGAAAATTGCTGTAATTTCAGGTACCTTTGCTTTATCCCTTTTTTTTTGTTTGTTTGTTTAAAAAATATGTATCTTAATCTGAAAATAAACCCACTGCAGCCAACGCCACTGCTGTGAACATTCATCGTATTAGGTCAAAAATGAGCATCAGCAGATGCTTCTTCATAATAGAGTCAAATTCCATCGTAGCTTTGTCCAGACGATACTATTATTGTAAGGAGCATACCAGAGGACGCGCTGTGGGGAGCCATCCTGCTCTTAGTGCCGAAGGAGACAGACTGCGTGACCATGGGTGTCTTCGTCCTCCAAACACTGCTATTTCCGACCTCGCTGATTTGGCCCCGTCACAGGTTGTTATTGTCGAGGGCTGCTTTCCAGAGCTTATGAGGATAGAAAATTGCCAGCCTCCATTTTAGAGTCTTTTCTACAAGTACCGTCATTAGGGTGGACAGATGTGCTTTTAGGATACATTAAGCATTATCATGAAGAAGGGAGCTATATAAGAAAGAGCTGCAGCCCTTTCTCCTATTTCATTTTCAAGGCATTGTGACTAAGAAGAGTGGCACCAGTTCATTGCGTGTGTGTGAACTCAAGGTTGGGACTACCTTTCTGTCTTAATTTGTCTTGTATTATCAGTTATAGTAGCTATAGAAAGCTTTTAAAGGCATACAGGTTATATAACTGGGGAAGCTGGCAAATTGCATCTTGTTGGCATAAGATTAATGTATGCTGGGGGACTTAAACAGAATAGCTGTAATACAGACCTTTTAAAAATAATATTAAAAAAAATCATTTTCTGCTGCCCCACCGAAAAACCCCGAAAAGCAGAAATCCACAGCTTGGATCCACGCTGCTGAGTGCTGAAGTGAAGAACTTCTCTGTGTGTTTCCAGCTGTGTACTGTCTCTGGGTGCTGAAAAGCCAAAGTGGGCTATCTCAGCACGTGCTTGTGACAAGGGCCAGAGCATGAGTGAGGACAGCGTGCAGGCAGTAGCCAGATGCTTAAAGATAATTCTATATTCTCTAGATTCCCTACTTCTTTTTTGCTTAAGATGTGTGCCAGACCTGTTTCCCTATTGCTGCTGCGTGCATGTCAGTTTGAACTGGGAATTTCAGACAGCTAAGAAATGTCCATACCGTGTCGCTCCTCAGTAAAGAGAGGCGAAAGTGAAAATGGTTGCTTTCAGTTTTGCTAATAGCATCTTGGCTTGGGATGTGTGGAGAGAGGAAGTCGCAATTCCTCCATGCTAAAGAACACTTCTTTTGACAAGGACAGAAAACGTACAGGAATTACTCAAGAATGATTTGTGAAAACATTCATGTTACTAATTTTAGCTGTATTTTAGCGAACTGATGTGAAGAATATATTCTTTGCATCGAGACCTAGTGCAAGAAATCTTGTTTTGCTACATGCACAGTTTGTGGCATCCTACTAAGATCTTGTCTGTGCTTTTTATTTTTTTTGCCCTGGAGTAAAAAGCACAATATAGTACAATTTGTCTTTGAATACAGAATCTACAGCATCTGCAAAGACCACAAGTGTTTCCTTGGAGATGTTACCACTTGAATTTTAGTTCTCCTGTAGGTTTTATCTGAAATAAAAACGCAGCCAGAAGTTCTTCCTCCATTGGAGGATGAACTTGGTTTTGCTAATTTTGGTTTCAAAATAGATATTAAAAAAAAATAATAATAAAATATGGGAACCTATTGCAAGGTTATGTCTCCAACATGTTGCAAAATTTTGACTGCTTCTTAGAGGGATGCATGTAAGGGAGATCTGCTTTGAAGACATCTCCCATGGGACCCTCTCTCATTAGTACTGTGTGTTTTTATGAATGCTTTGTGGCGATGTTTTGTTTAACGGTGTCCTTTCTTCAACAGTATTTTCCAGTCTTGCACTTAATGGCTACATCAGTATTAGTCAACTAAATAGTGCCAGAACATGCAAACTGCATCTTCAGGGAATGGTCCCTGCTCTACGCTGATGCGTGCACTCTGACAGAGAACTGCGTGGGGCAGCGCTGGTCCATCGGGGCTGAAACCTTCGCAGGCCTCCTGCTGGCAAAGTAACAGAGTGGATGGTTGAATTTCTCTACTCTTAACAATTTTGAGGAAAGTTATGTCTAAGTAGCAAACTCTCTCTTTGGTTTCTTCGAAAAGAAATACATGTATTTTTAAGATAGGACAGCATGAAGGGTTTTGATTATTGGCTAAAGGTTAGGGCTCATCTCTAAGAACAGTTCAAGTTTGGCTCTGGTTAGAAATTAGCAGCGGTCATCGTGGCAGGGAGGTTGGACTAGATGATCTTTAAAGATCTCTTCCAACCCAAACCATTCAATGATTCTATGATCATCTGCGACTGTTCCCTACCCTGGCTTTGAGCAGGGGCATCTCAGACTGATTGTTCTAGGACAGCCCCAAATGACTGGGTGCCCCCCAGTATCCTGCTGTGTGCCAGCGCCTCGCTGTGCACTTCTGACCACTGAAGATACTCCTGTCTCTCCAGACATAGGAGGCCGGAGGCTCATCTCTAGCTCATGCAGCTGGCAGGGGGCTGTCTCGCCCTTTAGGATGTAAATTTGGGGAGCGAGGTAAGTCTGGAGGGGTCCAGGAGTCTCTGGCTGATTATTTGCCACAACCTTGTATTGAAGCGTGGGCTTGAAGTTGGTTTGGAAATGCATATAACTCGAGCCAGATTAAGGTAAATTCAGCTGAAAGTATGTATGTGCAACATCCAAAACAGGCAATACAATTACAAGTGGTTATGAAAAACAGGAAAGAAATAAAAAAACCCACCATATGACTAATCTGCTTTTAGTGAGGTTACATTAGAAACGCCTCTCTCCTGTCCAGCTGATTTGCTGCCCATCCTGATCAAGGTTATATTCAACATTTCCTGACATCTCAGGCTGTGTCCATTAGAGCCCTACTCATTAGAAACCTCTTTCCTCCATGGCAGAGCATGTTACCTGACAGAGCCAATTTTCCTTTTGTCCAAACTCCCTGGAGGATCTCAGGTATAAACTTTTGCCTTCTGCTCTGCCTCTGCTTGCTTCCTTCCCACGTGTAACCCAGTCAATACTCTTAATTAAACATTATTTCACTTGCCTGCAAATGCAGATGTCCCCTTCATTAGGTCAGGTGTCGTGTCTCGTACTTGCCCGTTTCTTGCTTCAAGGAGGGCTAAAACTCCTTCCCCCTCAGCAGTGAGTCAGTGGTATATTTCAGTGTGAAGCATTCGCATTTTTATATTCTCTATCAGGCAGTACTGTAAAATAACATGATACAAACAAGTAAATGGGAAACAAGTGAGTAATTCATGATTGCCTCCTGATTAAGATCAGTAGGACCATAATAATCAGATTGGGGTGACTGATCCCAACATCTTTCTCCTAAGCATACTGCAGCAACCAGGAATCCACAATCGCAAGGCTGTGAATAGAAATTAAACTAATACCACCTGTTTTCTGTAGTCTCCATGAGACATAAAATCGTTCATTACAGTCGGTGACTCATCTCCCAGTCTGTTGGTGCTGCTTGAGCACACTGTCTCATGTGTTTAAGGAAACTGTGCTACTCTTGCCTTTGCCTTTTCCAGTTAGGGAGAAAACGGAGGTTCAGAATTTTCTAAAAGTAAACCCGATGCATCATACCGGTGTTAAATTCACCTGTGATGAAGAACATTAGGGGAGAGAAACTGAGCTGGCATATAAATCAGAGGTAAACTTTCAGGGCATATTTGACAGTACTCTAAAGTATCCTAATTTCCTCGTGTAAACAGCCTTTTGGTCACCCTAGAAGTAATAAATTACTTGAGTAATCAGCATCTCGTAGTTCATAGTGGATGTTGATTCACGGACTGCCTCGGAGATTGCCAACTGCCAGGGTGTACTCGGGAGACCTTAGGAGGAGACTCCCAAGTATTACGGGGAGAATTGATGGGGTTTGGGAGGGCTCCCTGGAGCTTTGCTTCCAGCACTCGTTGGTTATTTTTAGAAATGCCAGTCTTACTAGCTATTAATAAGAGAAGAAGTGGCCCAAGATAAGTGGAAATATAGGAATGTTAATGAATTGACTCACTGATGTTTGTCTGCTTCAGATTGATGGCCTTTGGAAAAAAAAAAATTAATTAGGGGGATTTGGAAGAAGCCAAGGTTAAAACCCGTGCTAGGGGATTGGTGCTGTGGAATAGCTACTGTGTGCAATCCTCTAGTTCTTACTGAACTTCAATTTTGAAGGTTTAATAATGTAACAGCTTTGAAAACAGGCTTGATAACTGTATTAACTGGGATTTCGGTGCAGGCGTGAACAGAAATATTACTGTCCTTAAGCAAGGACACTTCTGCAAAAGCCAGCACTCTGCCAAGGTGTTCTGGTATGAAGCTTTTGTTATATATATATATACACACCATAATATATCTTACAAACAAAGGTTTATAATGTGACCTAACTTCTGCGTAATACAGACCAGAGACTTCCACATCTGTCCCAGCTGAACCTGTTTTGGAAAGTGGGAACCTGTCTTGATTTGTTAAGGCTTTCACGTGGTCTCCATCTGCAGGAGCTTTCCTTAGAGCGGGCAGAGGGAGAAGGGGTAAGACAAACCCTACACAAAAGCTGGTGAGCAGGAGTTGAATGTCTGGGGAGACCTCCTTTGTGCTTCTTCCTTCCTCAACAACCCTTTCCCCAGTCTCAACCCAAACTATGCCCAAGCTTATAAAACCCAAACAACTAATAAACCCACAAATTCTGAAATTAGATTGGGTAGGAAGTGTTTAGAAATCAGGTTAATGATGAAATGAAGGTGATTTCCATCCTAGTGACTTGCAGTACACAGCAGTGTAAATAGCGTTGAATCAGAACTGTGAGCAATAGCAGTTTTCAGGGATTTAAAAATTTTCTTTCATGGGAATCTTCCTCTCTGACTGGCACTGTTCTCACACTGCCCACAAGTGGTAATCCTCCTTTTCAAAGCTGCACCAGGGGTTAAGGGCTTAAAGCTTGTTCTTAGTCAAAGCTTT